TAAACAAAGTACAGTACAACCTCGGTATAACGAATCTGAAGGCTCAGAAAAACATTCGTTATATCGGGAATTTTTCAATAACGGGGTTTGTTATATCGAGGTTAAATGCGACTAATATTCGTTATAAAGGTGTTCTTAAAGCTGAATTCAAACCTCTATACAACGAATTTCTCATCACTTAAACCTCAGTTTAACAAATCATGATTTACAGAATAACTGGACCTGTGTCTTAACTTAGAAAGTACGCTACCAAAAACAGGGGAAAAACCTAAATATTTTTGAGAATAACGTAATTTATTTGACAAAGTTAAATTCGTGTTGTAATTGTAATATAAAACTAAACAAATAAAAAACTACATTTACTACGTCCATCTATGTCCATCGTTATTGAGTACGCTGATTACCGCTGAAGAAGTCAGTACTTTTTGATTGTTTACCTTGTTGAGTTGGGTTATCCATTTCACAATCCAGCACAAAGATAGATTTAATAACACCATCATTAAAAGCATTTTTTTTTTTAGAAAATACCACATTAGCCATCTCTTGCGTCCTTTGATGTAAAATATGGTTGACTAACGAGATATTCATTCACGTCTTCTGCTTCTTCTACTGTTTCTTGCTCCCCTGACACGGAAAATACGATTTCAGCATCAGTGACCTCTCCACAGATTGTAACGTCATCATCCAAGTTGACAAACTCTTCTTCTTTAAAGCCTTCCCCACTCTCGTCCAACATCCTTGAATTGGTTCTGGTTGTTGAACTTCTGGATTGTCCTCATCTTGGTTTTGGTCACGATCATTCACTTAAAAGCCGCTTTTCTTGAAACAGTTGACCATAGTTTTGTCGTTAACATTGTTCCATACCTTTGTAAACATCCACTTAGCATCTAACACACTAATTTTATTTGGAGATTAGAATTCCAAGTCGTTCAAGAATTGACAGATAACTTCCTTTCTGTACTTGGTTTTGAAATTTTGTATTATTCCTTGATCAAGCGGCTGGAGTTTAGACGCAGTGTTTGAAGGCAGGAACTGAACTTTAATATTTGTTAGCACCGGAATATCTTGATGTGCAGTACAATTGTCCATAAATAAAAGAATGTGTTTCTTCTTCTGTTTCTTCGCGTTGTTGGTTTGTTTCAGCCAGTCACCGAAGATCTCTCCGGTCATCCACGCTTTTTTATTAGCTGTATACTCTGTTGTTAAGGTTGATACGTTTTTGAAACATCTGGTTTTTTTATTTTCCTATGACGAGAGGTTTCAGTTTATCTGTACCAGATGAGTTAGTGCAGAGTAAGACTTTCATACGATTTTTGCTGTTTTTGCCCCTTTGTAAGGGTCTCCTTTCAACACTAACGTTTTTTCCGGTAGGCACTTAAAAAAGCCCTCTCTCATCAGCATTGTAGATAACATGTGTAACAATTTCGTGTCTCTTTTTGAACCGATCCAACCAGCCATTACTGGCTCGAAAGTCTGCATGTAATAATTGTTCTGCAAACTGTTGAGCCTTTTCTTGGAGTATGGGACCTTCAACGGGTACATTTGTATCACGGCACTGTTTAAACCACTTAATAACAGCTTCTTTAATATCCTGTAGCTCACCTTTCTTAGCCTTTTTACAAATTTTGGACAGTCCACCGTCAACTCTGTACTTTTCTCTATTTTTTTTTTATTATTGTGGTTAATGTGGAGGTTCATGTAAGTTCTTGGCAATCTCAAAGTTCTGCTTTTTGGGATTTTCTTACCGAGGTTTGATACGCAGAAATGGGTAACACAGGGGTTTCGTGTATCATGTAGGGGTTTGCTACATCAACATTCAGTATACAGGGATTTTAATTTATTTCAACAAATCGTGAAAATTCGTTATATCGAGGATTAAAACCGAAATAGTTCATTATATAGGGGTATTTTTTACATTGAGTGTTATGTAAGTCTGAAGGGGACTTAAAAAAAATTGTTATATCGGGGATTTCTTTATATCGCGGTTCGTTATATCGGGACTGCACTGTACATCAAATATAGTAATAAAACATGAAACCAAATTATATACCAAGTATATAACCAAAATTACCACATCATTATTTGGTTATTTTATATGCCAGTATTTGTTCCACACTATGTAATAGTATTTCCATAATTTCAAAGTATGACAAAAATAAAAGATCTGTTTGAAGACCTGCAGATGAATGTCACGGTAAAAAATGAACATTTAGTCTAGACAGGATCTGTACTTAGAGTCATTTTGATAAACTAAAATCTGTTAATCTGAACCATATATTTTCTGTATTCAAATTTGCATTATTGATCAAAACATTCCAAATTTAATATAATCATCCTTGCGTAAACATAAATGTATTTTTTAAAATTGTTAAGATAGTTTGAAAAACTATTTTGTAGAAAAAAACTTTTTAAATGTTGAAAGTGGGACTGAAAATTTCGTCCCAAAAATGTTTCTGATTTTTCCACAACTTTAACTGGAACGTATGCTAATTCTAATTTTAAATAACGTAACAGAGATATTTTAATGAACATTTTAAGGTTAGGACAAAAAAATTCAGTTTCAGGCACAACTCAATAGTGCGTTGTTGACAGTGTACTAAACGTATTATGTGCTCGTGACATGTACTAAAAAAATTAATGAGAAGAAAGGGACTAAACAATACACTCAAATTAGACAAACAAAAACTAGACTCAAACTAGGCAATTAGAAGACAAAAAAGAAAATTCAAAGTAACGTACCGATTTTGTGTATTTTAAAAATTTACTTTCACTTTATAGATCTGTTTATTTGGTTATATTTTACTGTGTAGTCTCTTAGATAGATATAGAAGTCGAATATAGGACAATTTTAAAATATCTATTGGAAACAGGAAATAACATCATGTTAGACGAAAACATTTTTTAATAAGTTATTCCAGTCTATCGTTCCTGTTTCCCAATGTTAATAAGTAATGCAAGCAGTCTTATAGAGCGACACAAATCATCGAACTGGTGTATATCAGTCAGTAAAGTGCTATCGTTTACTTAAAAATGAGATCTTAGACCTACCCCACTATTCCAACTTAAAAAAAGCAACAAATAAAAAATATAATGCACTCTAAACATCTAGCAGAACAACTGTCACAAGCAGAAACTTGAATGTGTGTCAAAAACGAAAGAGAAATCGGAAATACAGAAGATAGTAGATAGTTTACTTAATTTAATAGACTTCTTTGGAGTATATTGGCCAACAAAAAGGTTTTAACAGAACAGGTGACAGTTGAAGTATGAACATGTGACATTTGACGCATGGACATGTGACAAATGATATACGTAAAATGCAATAAATGCCAATTTCCATTTCTCTTTGTATATCTGAGCCTTCATGTTAGAATTTGTTATCTTTTGAACTACTTTTAGAACTTTTAGGGCGCTTTATTTTAAGCATTTTAAAAATACAGCCATATCTAAGATATATATCCCAATCTGTATATACAAATTCGATGATTTCTGTCCTTTTATCTAAATCTACAATCTAAATCCAGTAATAAGAAAATTATCATTAAGTTTCTGTACTGATTTCACAAACAAACGGTTATATCTATGAATCTAATAATCTAAATAATACTGTTTTCTGTTTAGTTGTTAGTTGTCTAACTTAAAAAATCTTACAGATGTTCAAGCCAAAAACTCATCTTCTAAATAGAAAAGCAATACACCTTTTACATGTAACAAAGAACTTGGAGGTACAAATATTCAATGTCGTGAAGATTTTGAGAAGTGTTCGCGTTACTTCCGTGATTTTGGGGACAGTAGATATACCTTACTCATTAATATTCACAAAAATATGAATTGTGACTAAAAGTAACGAATAAAAAGTGTACTAAGGGATCTAATAGTTACCAAAACTGCGGAATAAACGGCACAGAGCTGAGCAATTGAAAATCCCGTCAAATTTAAATTAAAAATGGGTGAGCGATACTTTCACTTTATGAAATCGTAGATTTACGCGGATTCATCTGATTTAACGTTTAACCCTAGTAGTCATACTACGCCAAAAATACATCAATATATATATATATATATATATATATATATATATATATATATATTGCTATGATATTTTGTTTGTGTATTGTTTTATGAGCAATGAGTATTTTTGAATAACATATATATATATATAGGGTTTTTGTCGCGGTTCTCAAAGAATTAGTTTGTATGCACTTTTGAAATTATCTTTATTATAATTATAATGTAACTTTCTGTCACTGAATGCCTAAATGAAATTGTTTTCCAAAATAAAGGTTTTAATCACTACTCAATGTCTCCGTTATCAGCCTCTGGTTATCCTTCTTTTTATGAAATCGCTTTGCCAAATAGACCACAATGTTTCAATTATCAGCTTCCACCATTTCAAAATATTTTTCTTCTTAATAACATTTATAAATAGGTAAAATATTCTTCCTTCTTTATTGCTTTCTTGTTTATTCTTCTTTCTAATAATCTTTTTTTTTCTCTTCCAATCTCCAATCTCCATATAAATATAATTTTTAATTTTTTTTAATCTCCATATAAATAATATAATTTTTAATCTTGACCTTTTACTCTAATGTTCTCCAAAACTTAAGGATGTTGTTACCAATAAACTAGAGGTGGAAAAACTTACGAAGAAATACAATAGAGCTAAAGAAGAGATAAAAGACTCCAAACTCTAGTTAACCGTCTTAACGAAGGATTAAGCGAAATCCTAACATCAAATGAAAAATCTGAAGAAATCAAGCATTTGCATCGGACCATAGATAAAATAATTGATGAAAAGGGCTAGTGCCATACAAATCTACGAGAAAAAAATGGTAGAAAACGCCGATCGTATTTCCGCAGTTTATGATATATTGAAATGCACAAAAAAGATAAACAAGAAGCAATTCAAAGAATAAGAAAAGAATACGAAGAAAGAAGTGCTGAAAAGCAAATATTACTATCAATTCAAGTGATGAAGAAGATGATTCACCTAAAAAAACCTAATGGTAGTCACAGAAATTCTTTCTGTGACTACCATTAGGTTTTTTAGGTGAATCATCTTCTTCATCACTTGAACTGATCATAATGATTTGCTTTTCAGCAATTCTTTCTTCGTATTCTTTTCTTATTCTTTGAATAGCTTCTTGTTTATCTTTTTTGTGCATTTCAACATATCTTGCAATACTTTCCTCGTAAACTGTGGAAATAGGATCGGCGTTTTCTACCATTTTTTTCTCGTAGATTTGTATGGCACTAGCCCTTTTCATCAATTATTTTATGTATGGCCCGATGCAAATGCTTGATTTCTTCAGATTTTTCATCTGATGTTAGGCCTTCGCTTAATTCTTCGTTAAGATGGTTAACTAGAGTCTGGAGTCTTCTAATCTCTTCTTTAACTCTATTGTATTTCTTCGTAAGTTTTTCCACCTCTAGTTTATTGGAGATATATAACAACATCCTTAAGTCTTGGAGAACATTGGAGTAAAAGGTCAAGATTAAAAATTATATTATTTATATGGAGATTAAAAAAAATTAAAAATCATATTTATATGGAGATTGGAGATTGGAAGAGAAAAAAAAAAAAGATTATTAGAAAGAAGAATAAACAAGAAAGCAAAAAAGAAGGAAGAATATTTTACCTATTTATAAATGTTATTAAGAAGAAAAATATTTTGAAATGGTGGAAGCTGATAATTGAAACATTGTGGTATATTTGGCAAAGCGATTTCATAAAAAGAAGGATAATCAGAGGCTGATAACGGAGACATTGAGTGGTGATTAAAACCTTTATTTTGGAAAACAATTTCATTTAGGCATTCAGTGACAGAAAGGTACCAAATTTTGTTAGTATAATTTAATTGTGTAATAAGAATTTCATTTTAAAGATAGGTTGTTTTACATTTATATTTAAATATTGTCTAAATTAGATATATATGTGTGTTTCATAATAATTATAGTAAAGATAATTTCAAAAGTGCTTACAAACTAATTCTTTGAAAACCGCGACAAAAACCCTATATATGTTATTCAAAAATACTCATTGCTCTTAAAACAATACACAAACAAAATATCAGCAATATATATATATATATATATATATATATATATATATATATATATATATATATATATATATATATTCGACTTGAAATTTATGACTCCTTGTTCTACCGTAGATTTATCCATATATAGATGTGATATTTCCATGTTTTTATACTTTTTTTATTTGTCCCTACATGTGAACCAGTATTTTTGTATTGCTAAATTAGAATTAAAATCCGATACAAATTGACCACTTGCTCGACAAATATTATGAGAGGCAGCAAATTGTATCGGTCGTTTAAGTGATTGCTTATTTATATTCTTAATGGACTACCAAAGTTTTGATGTCACAAATGCTAGGGGCAGATTATGAACGTTTACAAATTGATAATTGCACGTACAAGCAAGTCCATTTACAATGTTACGAAAATATTGTTTTAGAAGCAGGTCTCATTTTAAAAATTAGGAAAAATAATAAAATTACAATGTTTTTGGACTGATATGTATTGTTTGGAAAATTTCATCTTTTAAGCTTTAGAATTTGGTACTTTAGACTTTGGTAGTCCGTTTTTATTTCTATTCTTTTTGTATATACACATTTATTTGTCCTATAATGATAGTATGTAACATTTTCTGACCATAAATAAATAACTTTTGATTTATGTCAACGTCTTTGTGTTGTATTAGGTTTGTCAGGACCACTCAGGACATTTGCAAGCAATAATAAAATATATAGAGAAAAGTACAAAACAATAATTTCTTTAGTTTTGTAGTTTGTCGTATCTTTGAATACTCAGTTTCTCTAGATTTTTCCTTAAACTTTAAGTGGTTCTTTATTTTTTGTGTTTCTTTCAATTCTTGTCTGTTAACATTAAAATTATTTATTTTTTTGTTTGTACAGTATAAAAATTGATTAATTTGGGGGACAATCAAAAGTTGTTTTTTTCTGTGTTCCGATTTTTCTGTTTCTCAAACCCTTTAGCATAACACAAAATATTATAACGTAGTAACTTATGAAACATACTAGACTAATGTCTCTGAATTAAGACAGTAAACCATCACGCTCCGGTCTAATTTAGATAACTTAACCTCTTCTAAGTCACTTTTTCTATAAATCACATTTTTTGTATTGTAGTTTCATGACAAAATAAATTTATATTTGATGAATAAACTTTTGCTTTATTTTTTTCCTTTAAAATTTTACTTACTACTAGCGAAGAAAATTAGAAAAAAGTACGGTAGCATCTCACTAATCTGGCTCGCACTTTGTACACCACCGAGTACGGGTTTCGTCGCGTCAAAGGGTCTAACCTTAAAACTGATCAGGTGTAAGTGCGTGTATATTAAAATAGTATGGAGTTGGGTAATCTTAAGAAAAAAAAACAAGGAATAGTGGATCACTTTAAGACGATGGAATTTGGACCAGGAAAGCGAAAAACATGCATGGTGAATGAACAGGCGTGGTGAATGTTTAAAGATGGAAAACGATCTCTACCTTTATTTAAGAGCGTTTTGAAAACATTCCTGTATCTGGAGAAATTTTGAAAGCAAAATGTTGACTAGGTCTTCGTCGAAAGTTTCAATATCGCTCTCTGGTTTGTCCGCAGTTGGAGCATAAACTTGTAGGATGTTTATTTTGGGTTTGTTCTGGTTTAATTATAAGTGTATAATTATGTTGGAGTATGGAGTGAGGTTTATTATAGCTTCATCAATGTTTTTGTTTAATATTATCCCGACACCATATCTGTGTGAACCGTCTTGACTTCCTGAATAGTATATTGTTTTATTGTTGATATTTATCTTTCCTGAATCGGGCCATTGGACATCGCTGATTTCTAAAATATCTATATTCAGCCTTTCCGTATCTTTAACAGCATTATGTACTTTTCCAGCTTGATGTAGACTTCTAACATTCCAAGTCGCTACTTTGCAAGGTTTTCACATGTTGACGACCGGGGGTGCCTTGCAGTCTTGTGAGTTTTCTCCTCTTCCGGATCTTGTTTTCCGAGTTTTATGATCAGTAGTGTGTTTGGTTGTATTTTAGTCATGATGATTAACTAGGGATGCTCTATGAGCCTTTAATGCATTGGTTTTCCATTGCCTTATGTATCTCCACGCCGTTGACCATGTCTGGTACGTCCGCCTTTAGAAATGATTTTCCATTTCTTGGACAAGAAGGTGCCCTTCCACTTACCGACTCTTCCACCCGAAGCTGTTGGTCAGTAAGTGGGGGATTGCTTATTCCGGCAATTACTCGGACGCCAGAGCCTCGTTTGTTATCTAGCAGAATGTACCGGCTGATTATGATCTAGATCATCTCACGGGCAGGTTAGGTTGACATTTGAATAGGAGAGGCTATGTATTGCGCATCACTATCCCTTACATTCCGGATAATACTCCACTGTTAGTTAATCTAAATTCCCACATTGATATCGCTAGAGGTATCACGATTCTCAAGATGACCGTTTCCACAACTTATCAAAAATAAAATCAAACACAAAAGATGCCTTCTACATCAATTCCAAGAAACCCGTGATCCTTCTCAAAACAGAATATAACCACATCTCGTTCCAGATCAAACTGGAGGTGAAAAACATTAAGGCAAACCAATGGCTTAGGACCACCTCCGATCTGGACTACCGAGGTAGTGGATTACAGTCTTAATTCCAAATCCCAAAAAAGATCTAACCCTTCTCACCTAGTGGTGAATAATTAACTTTTGAAGGCTAAGACCTTCAAAACATATTTACCATCCCAAACGATCTCCTATTCGACGAGACCTTCTGTGTAACCAGTGAGAGATTATACACAACAATAAACATGTACACATACATTATAATCACCCGTTCATGGTCCGTGTTTATCAAAAACATTGGAGAATTACAACCAAATAGGCAACTCTAATTCACCAGGTCATGACAAGATTCCCGGGAACAGCGTGAAACAGTATACAATTTTGCTCCCTACAATTTTACTCCAGACCAATCATAACTCTTACAGGTTGACTACTCGACTAAACGTTCTGGCTAAAATCTTCGAGAGAATCCTCAAGGAAAGATGGTCTTTATCGTTACACACATGCAAACTTTCTATTGGCATTTTTCTCGATTACAGAATTACAAAAAGGCTTTCACCAACTCTGGCATGCCGGATTGGTGAGAAAACTGCAGGACATCGTTTGCCCATCCCCTTTGTCTGACTAATCCATTCATACAAGTCAGAGCGAAACATCAAGGTAGAGGTCAGCAGGAGTGCCACAATTAACCTATGAAACCTAGGAGGCACGCAACGGTTACTTATATATATATAGCCCAGGCCCAGAAACTTAGAAGATTATCAGTAATTGTGAAAAATACGAAAAAAAAATGCCAGAAAGAAACTGTTGAAAGCGCCTTTCGTGCACAGTAAAAATTATTTTTTACTTGTGACCTTATTTACTCTCTTCAATTTGATAGTCTATTTCTAAAAAATTAAAATAAATTTTTTAATAAACTTGTTTTTTATTTTTTTCTAAACATTTCACACCCTCTTCATCCCATCATCCTGCATATATGGAAATTGTTACCAACTACAAAGTTTGTTATTAGGATAACAGAAATACGAGGAGATCTTAGTTAATTTTGTTGAAAGGCGAGTTAACCAGCTCTTTACAGTTTCCTTTTTTTGGTTCCATTCGTCTACTATAAAGAATAGATGGCGCAAGCGTCCAAGCTTGCATAATAATTTATGTGCTAATGCTCATATATGTCACATGCTTTATACATTTTCGTCGCAAAATCAGAGCCGATCCTAGGAAGTTGGCCATGTGCGAAGACCTAATGTGCTGCCCCCCTTCTAATTGTAAAACAGACATTTTACAATTAGAAATAAAAACAACGTTATTCACTTACAGAAAATACAATCTCATAACAAAGACTCAATCTAATCATAAATCACGTGAAACGACAAGTATATAGATTGGTCCTTATACAAAGACTACTAATAATCCTAATAAATATTTATAAACTAACTCTTCTGGCCTTCTAGAAAGTAAGTCAATAGAAAATGGTGCTGAAAATGTGAACTGTGTGCAACCAGTAATGGTCCAGTTCGTAAAAAGAGGGCACCCATAAAACAGTACAATGTTGGTAGTCCTATAGAAAGAGGAGCAATCGACATTGCAGGTCCATTTCCAGAAACGAATGATGTAAGTAAATATATCCTGGTAACTATGGATTATTTTACGAAATGCACTGAGGCCTGTGCGATACCAAATCAAGAAGCTGCTACCGTTGCTGAGGTACTTGTTAAAGCATTATTTAGCCGATTTGGTGTCCCCTTGAAGATTCACTCCGACCAAGGGCGAAACTTCGAGTATTCGATATTCTAAAGAGTATCTCAGCTTTCCTTATTCCTGTCCACTCCCTGATATTCTTCAATTGAGAGGCCTGCTTTCTACCAATTCCTCTGCGTCCTTTGATTTTACCCATCATAATAAGTTGAAGAATATTATATCGGTCTTCCCTTACTACGTGTCCAAAATAGGCCATCTTTCTACATTTGATGTTATCAAATGGTGCATATTTTTAATGTCCATGTTTCGACACCGTATAAGAGGACTGACCAAATGTAGCATTTAACCATGCTCTTTCGAAGTTGAAGTTGCAAGTTATCATTAGAGAATGACCTCATTTTTAAAAATGTCATGCGGGCTATCTCGATTCTACATTTTATCTCTTGATCTGGATCTAGTTGTTCAGTAATATGGCAACCAAGATAATTAAAACTGGACACTCTTTGAATTATATGACCATCAACATATAATCGTGCATCTTGATGTGCTAAACACCATGTATTTTGTTTTTGAACAGTTTATGTTTAGGCCAAACTCTCTTTCCACTGTATCAATGGCATTTAAAAGGCATTGTAGTCCATTCATGTCATCACTTAAAATAACTGTATCGTCTGCATATCTGATTGTATTTATCAAAATTCCATTAACTTTCACGCCCCATTCCAAATTATGTAGCGCTTCTTTAAATGTTCTATCTGAATATAAATTAAATAACACTGGGGATAGTATACAACCCTGTCTGACACTTCTTTGTATTTTACATATTTCTGTTGATTTTCCGTTTATGCAAGCTGTCGCTGTTTGACACCAGTCTAACTTTTCTATGAATCGTATGTCTTGACTATCAACTCCTTTATCTTTTAATATTGTAATTAATTTGTGATGCTGTACTTTTCCTGCTGTACTTTAGACGTCTTTCCTTTGATCTCGACATTTCTGCAGTAATACATTTAGTGCAAAGAGGGCGTCCCGAGTTACCAGTCCATTTCTGAAGCCAAATTGTGTTTCATCCTGGTCTTCTTCACATTTATCTCTGATTCTACTGTGGATGATGCGTAGAAATATTTTCAAAGTGTGGCTCATAAGGCTTATCATTTTATCATCGCTACAGTTTTTCAGACGTCGTTTTTTTGGTAGTGTTATGAATTCGGACTTTAACCAATCTTCAGGGATATCACCAGTCGAATAAACATCATTGAAAAGCTTGACCAGTATTCCAATGTTCTCCTCATTTATAAGCTTTAACATCTCTGTCGGTATGTTATCAGGGCCAACGGCTTTCTTGTTCTTTGCTAACTTTATAGCATGCAGTATTTCTGGTCCTTCACCTTCAACTAAAGTCTCCAGTTCTTCGGGTCTATCATCATTATACAGTTCACTTATATAAATACACCAGGTTGTTCGAATTTCACGTTCGTCTATTATCATTCTTCCCGACGAATCGGTTACAGTATATTTTACAACCCTTTTCCAGAACGTTTTTAAATTTATGGTGTCAATAAGATCAAAACGACACCCCTAAAGGTGTCAATAAGATCAAAACGACACCCCTAAATCCCCAAGCAGATGGAATGGTCGAGAGGATGAACCAAACTATGGGTAAACACCTGTCCAAAGTTCTATCAGAATATCAAAACAGATTGGGACCAACTTATTCATTTATTCCTAATGGCCTACCACTCGGCCATGAATGAAACTACAGGCCAGACACCAACCTGCCTGATGTTGGGTCGTGAAGTTCGTTTGCTCTGCGACCTACATTTTGGCTGCAGATCTTATTGCACATGTGTTGTTGAACATGCTGCAAGCGAAGAATATGTCGATGGTTTGAAGAATGAAAGCTATGAAGTATGAGATCTTGTTTGGGTTTATAATCCACAACGTCGTCGAGACTTATCTCCTAAACTGTAAACACAATGGGAAGGTCCGTATGAATTAAAAAAGAGAATAAATGACGTAATATACCGAACTGAGAAGTTGCCGAAAGGTAACCAAAAGTAGTTCACATAAACCGTCTTGCACCTTATGCTGGCTCAAATGAAACACGAACCCTTTAACATGAGATCAAAGATGACCGACGACCAAGCTTTAATGAATTTATGTCAAACCCGAAGAGATCGTGTCCTTCAAAGACAGTACACTGTTATTTTTTTCTGAGGGGTTTATGCAGAGCTGGAGAGTCCTGCAGATTCCGCCATCCTACGCCTTCATGTAAAGTTGCGGATCGGGACGTTCATGTCTAAGAGGATGGCAGTGTAATGAAATAGGTAGCACACCTCCGACGCGTGTTACAATTCTCAGAAAGATGAATCTAGAACATACAATCGATGGCGTTCTCAATAGCGGTTGCTTTCGAGACACTACCGATGAAGCGAGAATAGAGGTGGACTATTCCAGATTATTATAGTACATAATAACTTGTATATATAAGCTGCGCTGATATTAGTTTAGTTTAGTTGATATTATCGTACGGTAAACTTACAAATAAATGTATAAATTAGAACCGCTCGTTTTATTTAAAAACGCTATATTATAAACCGCACAGGACACGTATAATGCTCTATGATTGATATCAAGAATCCATTTTTAAAGCACTATATGTTTCTCTTTATCTCTATATTTTACAGGTCTTCTCCAGTTTTATTAGTTACTGGAAAAAACCTAAAAAAAACTCTAAAATTAGTAATCTTACCATCAGTAGTTTGCACACAGCTAACTCCTGGTTGGCTGGTATCAACAGTTGGACACTAATATCCTTTTTCGAGCGAGGATCTCTATAGTTTCCTTAAGCGAAATCTTAGAACATCTACCAAAAGTCACCACATTTGTCAAAAATTCAATAAGTTTATCATGTAATCTACCAAACCGAAATTAGGAAAGAAAAATATTATAACTATGAAAAATCAACAAGGCCAACTAGAAACAAGCAAAGCTCAGATATCAAATATAGCTGAAAACTTCTATACTGAGTTATACCGCTCAAGAAACGATCCCCCCGACTCTTCAAAGCAAAATCTGAAAAGACAAATAACAAACGTAAATTCTGAAGTAATGCGAAATAAGCGAGGTAGAAATAGAAAATGCAATTAAAGAAATGAAAAGAAATAAAGCACCGGGTAGTGATGGAATTCTGGCAGAAATGTTGAAAGAAGGCGGAGAAGAAGTCGTCAGGTACCAAAAATACTTTTTAATAAATGCCTATTTGAAGGAAAAATAACAAAGGAATGGAATACTGCTAACACAATATTAATACACAAAAAAGTGGATAATACAGATCTGAAAAATTATCGTCCAATATCACTACTATCACAACTTTATAAAACATTCACAAAAATAATTACAAATAGATTGACAACAAAGTTCGATGTATATCAACCAGTAGAGCAAGCCGGATTTAGAAAAGGGTTCAGTACATGTGACCATCTTCACACACTAAAGGTCCTAACAGAAAAAGTTAACGAATACAATTTACCAATCTGTTTAGCATTTATAGACTACGAGAAAGCTTTTGACAGCATAGAATTATGGGCTATTGAGACAGCACTGGTCAACAGCAGAATAGATTCTAGATATAGGATATTAGTACATAATATATATCAACACGCTGAAATGGTAGTCACGATGGATAACGGAATGAAAACGAGGCCAATAAAAATCAACCGAGGAGAAAGACAGGGAGACACCATATCTCCAAAACTATTTACTGCCGCACTTGAAAACATCTTTAAATCACTAAATTGGGAAACGAAGGGACTATCGATAAACGGAAAGTATTTGAACCATTTAAGATATGCAGATGACGTAGTACTAATAGCCGACAGCTGAAAAGAACTGAAGACGATGATCGATGAGCTTCATACGGAATCCAAAAAAAAGGACTGAAAATGAATCTGAGTAAAACTAAGTTAATGTCGAATAAAGATGATCAACCGACGATAACCATCCAAGGAACAAAAGTGGAACATGTAGAACAATACATTTATCTGGGTCAGAATATCAAGGTAAACAAAGAAAACCAAACTACCGAAATAAACAGACGAGTAAGAATGGGATGGGCCGCATTTGGAAAACTCTCATACATACTGAAAGACAAAAAGATACCCCAAAACCTTCGAACCAAAGTGTTCGATTCTTGTATCCTTCCCGTTCTCACGGAGCTTAAACCTGGACATTCAGAAAGAAGAACATGGACAAGATTCGAAAAACTCAGCGAGCCATGGAACGACAGATGCTTGGTATCTCACTAATAGATCGGCAAACGAACGAAGCAATCCGGAACAAAACAAAAATAAAGGACGCCGCGAAACAAGCAGCTAAATTAAAATAGAAATGGGCTGGACACAACGAACGTCTCGAAGATGGTAGATGGAACAAAGAAGTCGGAAACTGGCGACCGTACGATGCGAAGAGACCAAGAGGAAGACCTCAAATGCGCTGGAGCGACGATATCAAGAGTCGCAGGACCAATGTGGAAACGCCTAGCACACAACAGGGATGAATGGCGAGAAATGGGAGAGGCCTTTATTCGACAATTCGGATAGAAAAAGGACTATAAAAAAATCATGTAATCTAAAGTTCTACCGAGATTTGTATATAGTTCTTTGTAAGTTTGTTAAACTAGGGTACAGTCAATTACTGGTATTTTTCCTTTTAATTTTCAATTGAAACACATTTTCACTGACTAACTTATTTCGATTCTGTTAACAGTATTATTTTTTATTATATGTTCAATAGACACTAAATGAATAATATGATTTGTTTCATTTTATTTCTTATACTTGTCGCAGAGAAAATGCCAATGCTGTATCCCTTTAACTTTCGTTGTCGAAATCGAATCGTATCGATTGGAATTGAATTAATCGATTTGAGTAGAATCTAATCGAATCATAAACACATTTTCCACATTCGTTTTAGTGATACGAGTAGTTTGTTCTTTTCTATGTTCCACTTTTAGACATAATCCCGTATTTTATTTTCTTGGTGATTTTCGTCATGTTTTCAATTATAGCATTTTTCATATAAAAATGCTTGCATATCATTCAAGATTTACGACGTCAGAACCCCACAGCGTTGCCAAAACATCAGAATAGTTAGTAAGTGAAGAATTTTTAAAATGTCAACTATTTGTCAAACTATTATATTACCAGTAAATACACTTAGTTTTAACACTACTGCAACACACTAAAATATATAAGAAAACATTTTAATACAAAATTATATATTCTAAATTTTAAACTTATCTCTTTTAGGGCTTTAATAGTAAAAACATCCCGCCATTATTTCTTGTTCAAAATAATCTATCTTATATGAAAGCTTATCAGCTTTCTACAGACTATTTATTTGTTTTGACATAGCACAATCACAATACACAACAATAATTAGTTTTTAAAGCTATTAATCTAAATTTAATATGTATTTATAAATATCATTTATTAATATATATTATATTATGATCAAATTGTGTAAGAAATCAAAACATAAACAAAATTCCTACTCTAAAAGCGGCAGCAATTTATACACTTTTCCCACACGCTAAACTATCAATAAAATTTGAAGTATTCTTGTATCAGTTGTGTACAATTGTTTAATCTATTTAATTAAAATTATTATTTTGTGGAATATTAGACTTAAACGAGTTACTTCATAAAATTTATATTATTAATAATAACAAATGTTTTTGGTTATTTAATCAATATAATTCTAAAATTTCCAATATAATGACGATTACATTTTTCTGATTATTACACCGTGTTGATGCCTATGAAAGATCGATCAGTTCCGTATGGGTTTCGTATTATTAGCTGTGTTAGGAAAATTTTAATTCTGGAATAAGGGTCTAAGGTTGACGTTCTGGAAATTTTAAATATAAATGATTTCATTTTATATAAATTGTGACGTGCAAGCATTTTTATATAAAAAATGCTATACTTTTCATTACCTCCCGGTGATCTGTCAGTATATATGTTCTTGCTCTGCTGTCAGTAGTATTTGTCTCGTGCTATTATCTTCTTGCATCCCAATGCGTTTTACAACTATGGTGTAACGAGAAATGATGGGGACAATAAAAAAACTAATGGAATAAAAATTTATTCACCTATATATTATAAAAATAAGTCCAGAAACTCACAATTAAGTATGTGTCTGATGTGTCTTAATTAATTTAAATCCAAAAATCGCCCGTCCAACGATTCGTCATCATCACTTACTGGAAATATTTCAGCATGTTCAAGTATGTACATAAACAGGTAAAACAGTTACATAAATGTTTTCGTTAACACTATGAAATGTCACGGCAGACTTTTTCTTCACCTTTTTCACTTTTATTTATAAATTAAATCATTCAATTCAGCCATCAATAATTATTTTACATGTAGAACTAAATAATTACTAACTACTATCAAAAGTTTTTCAATATCAGAATTTTTCTCTCAATGCTAGAGTTTGCGCAAATCTAGAACGAATACGCTACCGTCGGAAGCACTGGCGCCCACTTTATCTCCTCTGGAGTTCCAACAAACCTGAAAACAAATTGTCAGATCATATCATTTCCTCCAGCAAAAATATTGATCATTGTTTTACATCTAAAATAAAAGTGTCAATAAAATTACCTCGAATATGCCTCCTGTGCCCTTATAACTATGAACAAGATGACCGGACTGCGTCGACCAAATGTGAACACATTTGTCGAAACTACCACTTGCTAAAAATTTACCATCTGGACTGAATGCTACTGAATAAACGGGCTCAGTATGCTTAGTTAACCTGTGAATACAAAAGCCTCTTTCTACATCCCATAACCTGAAAAAAAAAGAGTACCACTAAATATTACGTAAATATACACTACTTGGGCAACTATTTGAGAGTTTGCATATTTATAAGGAACTTTGTATACAATTGTAAAAATTATTATTTGGCGGCACTGTCACCCGACCGGCTTAGAACTAGGTTTTTTCTTTACTTAGAGCAAAGAAGAGACATTTTTATAAACAACTACGAGATATCGAGGAAATATACGAGAAATAAATAACATAAATTCTTCTTCTTCCTTCTTGGATGTAGGCTTTAAAGCTTGTTTCTTCTTCATTAATAGCCTCCTAAGTTGTTTAAATTATCGCACCATCATTTTTTGGTCTGACAATAATTCTTCGTCCATTTGGTGACTTATCTCGTGTTTTGTACTATCCTATCCTCTGCCAAACGCTATGAATGAGTTAGGAATTCCAAAAAAACTCATATGTTTGATAAAAGTGACAATGGCGAAGATGCTATCAGCAGTAAAAATTCAAAACGACTCGTCAACCCCATTTCAAATACATAGGGGGTTAAGGCAGGGAGATGCGCTGGCGTGTCAGGTTTTTAATGTCGCCGTAGAAAAAGTTGTTGTTGTTAATATTTAATAGATCAGTCCAAATTCTAGCATATGCAGACGACGTGGACATTATAACAAGAACTAGGGCGAGAACTGCGGAAATCCTAACCGAGCTAGTAGCAGCAGCAGAACGAATGGGGTTACATATAAATCAAAATAAAACCAAATTCATGGCGACTAACACAAACACAAGAGCTGGAAATGTTGACACAAATTTAATCATCAATGACCAAAACTTCGAAGCAGTCAATGAGTTCATATATCTAGGGACATCAGTTAACCCCAATAATAATACATCTGAGGAAATAAAAAGGCGAATAATAATTGCAAACAGGTGTTATTATGGTCTATCACAGTACTTAGCTAACAAACGTCTGTCTCAAAAAACTCGTATAAGGCTGTATAGAAGACTGATAGTCCCCGTTCTCACATACGGATCAGAGGCATGGACGCTAACGAAAACAGATGAATCCGGTCTATCCATTTTTGAAAGAAAGGTGCTACGCAAGATATTTGGAGCGGTCTGTGAGAACGGAATATGGAGGCGTAGATATAACTTCGAACTGCAGAATATCTACAAGCAAACGTTTGGTGGTAAAGATATTACCACTATAATTAAGCGAAACCGCCTGCAGTGGGCAGGACATGTAGCCCGGGCCCCTGAATCGAACATGATAAAAAAGATTCTAACAGCGCAACCTGTGGGAATGAGACGACGGGGTAGACCACAGCTGAGGTGGATGGATGGGGTAACACAAGATGCGGAGAAGATCGGAGTCGGCAACTGGAAAATTCAAGCAAGGGACAGAACAGAATGGCGTAGAAAGTTTGAGAAGGTCGAGGCCCTCTAAGGGCTGTAGCACCAAGATGATGATGATGATCCTCTGCCATTCTACTAATGTGTTCGTTCCACTTCCGTTTCCGTTTTGTCAACTATCCATTTATGTCGTCTATATTGCATGCTCTTCTTATTTTTTCGCTTTTCTCTCTATCCAACAGACTTTTCCCTGATATTCGTTGGAGTATTTTTATCTGTGTTGTTTCTAGTAGTCATCTCACGTCGTATGTTAATATAGGTCTAATTGCTGCTTTATAGATTCTTGTTTTTGTGTCTTCTAGTCAACTAGATATAACTAGTCAACTTCATAACTAGTTATATCTATTCCCAGATATCTAAACTTTGCTTCGTGCTTGTTTCTTTTCCCATCAATTTCGATTTTACATCGTAGTAGGTATTTAGATGTTGTCATATATTTGGTTTTTTCTGCTGATATCATATTGTATTTCTTGGCTGTTGTATTGAAGCCGTGTGTTCATCTTTGGAGTTCGTCTTCTGTCGCGGTGATTAATTCCGCGTCGTCTACATAACATAATGTTTTGATTTCTTTGTTCCCCATTCTGTAACCATGACCTTTACGTACTGCTTGTATTATTTCGTCCATTATATTAAAGAGAAATGGGCTTAACGAGTCACCCTGTCTGACTCCGCTTTGTACTGGTATACACTGAGTTAGTATACCATTTATCTTTGTCTGTATTCGATTATTGATGTAGATGTTTTCGATGGTTTGTAGACATAATACTGATTGGCGTCGAAGGCGCTTTACATCCTTTTTGTAAACCGTTCCCAATGTTCACTTTTTGTTCTTCTTACCAATTGTTTTGTTTCATTTCGTATTCTTCTAGAAGTCTCGAGATTCTGGAGTATTTGATTCGTGTAGGCCTCTCGTTTCTCTTTACATTTCTCTTTTATTTCTTTTCTGAACCATGGTGTATTGTTGTTACTTTTGTTCAGTATGACTTTGCGTTTTTCTAGAGCTTCTGTTACTGCTTTTTGAAGTTATACTTCTATACGCACGGTCAGCGTTGGAAATTTGCATGGGAGTGAATCTGTGAAACCATTACATATGTAAGATAATGAGTAAGAGGGAGACAGAAGACATATTTTTTTTTCTCTCTCTTCCTTTAAATGTTTATTTTGTATATATTTAATATTATATATATATATATATATATATATATATATATATATATATATATATATATATGTATTAATATTATTATTTATGTGATATGTTTTGTTCAGAGTTCGATCTTCAACTGAGACTAAGGTTTACTAAGTGCTACCTGAGGTCAGTGCTGCTATATGGCGTAGAGGGCTGGACACTCAAAACGAGGAATATAAACAGATTAGAAGCTTTCGAAATGTGGCTCTATCGCCGTATCCTAAAAATACCATGGACAGCGAAAATCACAAATATAGATGTCCTTAAAAGAATAAACCAAGAACGCCAACTTTTCGAAACCATCAAGAAAATGAAAACGGCGTATCTAGGTCACATCATGCGAAATGAAAAATACCAGTTCCTCCAACTTATAATCGAGGGTAAAATTGAAGGCAAGAGAGGAATGGGACGCAAGAAAATGTCCTGGCTCCAAAACATAAGGCAATGGACAGGAATTAACGACATACAATCTCTGATACATATTGCAAGAAATAGAGAATTAATGGAAAATGTGATCGCTAACATCCATTAGTGGATTTGCATCTGAAGAAGAAGAAGAAGATATTTCCTAATGGCGACTCCAGGGTCGTTTGTAAACATACAAAATGAATTGAATTTCAATGCAAATGTCAAGTGCCATACGATAAATACACCCCAATGACGCCCACGATACTGAGCAACAAGGCCTTCGTAATATTCCTGTGTAAGATTGGTTTATTACCATCTAAAGTCAATTTGTCCACGTTGAGTTTTTTATCGTTACAAAGTGTAACTTAATTATCACGTTTGATTCAAATCGAATATTAAGTTTATTTCTAAGAAAAGCAAAACCTTGCACTTACCTAACTGTCGAATCAAAACTTGCAGATGCTAATATAAGATTCATATTGGGATTATGAGTTCCTGGACCTGTTGGTGACCATTTGATCGTATAAATTTCCTTTGAATGTGCTTGTAAATCATGCACACACGTATCTTGCTTCATGGACCATATTTTCAACGTCATATCATCCGAACATGATGCTAAAAGTTGTCCCTGAGGATCCCATTTAATAGCATTTACTTCGTTCTAAAAGAAAAACAAGTAATTGTCAAACAAAATCAAAACTAAGCAAACATAAATATTATATTTATATGGTATTAAGCCACAATTGATTGTAATAGAAATGACATATATAGCACTATTTGTTTTGTGTTTTTTTCTCACTGAATGTATGTAAAAACAATTAGCAGAATCTTACCGTATGCCCCTGGAAGGATTTTATAGGTTTGTCCATCGACAATTTACAAACATGGATACATTGATCAGTCGAACAACTGGCGAATGAAGTGTTGGTTTGCCAATCGACGTCCAAAGCTGGTGCAGAATGGAAACTGAACTGTTGTGTACATTGTCCACTTGCTGCGTCCCATATTATTGTTGTTTTATCAACCTAAAAGTAGAAAATATGAATTAAAATATATGATACAAAAAGTATAAGAGGGAAATGGGTTCCTGAGAAGTATGCAAGGCTTGTAAAGGATCATCAAAGTAAGGATGTGTGTTAAATTGACAGAAAGTTTTCCAGTGACGGTTGGTTTGCATTAAGGTTCTTCACTGAATCCCTGTTTAAGGTTGTTATGGATATTGTTACGATTTTAAATGTTATGGCGTATAAAACTGTAAATATTTTATGACTAATTCTTTTTTATTGATTCTCATAATTTGTAGGTCAAAATCTACCTGAGACACGTTGGGTTTCCCTTCGCTATAAAAGCGACGAATAAGAGTTTTCTGGAACCGCACCGATACCAGTTTTTAGATCATTGCCGCTCTGTCTACGAGGGCCTCGTATTTTCGACAACATTCTATTTACCAGTCTATTCGATGGGGTTCCGTTATAATGAAGAAGGTCATCGATCTTTCTAGATAACGGAAGTAAATGAAACATTTTATTTGGAGGAGTCAGTAAGAAGATAAATTCGTGGCTCGGTATTTAAATGTACGAACGTAATAAATAGTTGTAGTTATTTAATAAATTGATAATAAATTATCGTGAGTTTTAATAAATTAGAATAAAGACAATAAATTAGGACTAATAAAATCATTATAATATATACTGACAAAAAAGGTAAGGGATGGGCTTGTTGGTCATTGCCTTTGTGGATGATACCGTGTTAGTAGAAGAGAGCAAAGAAATGTTGAAGAAGCTCAAGGCTTAAGGTCATATAATCATAATATAAGTTAAAATTATTAATTTGATCATTAGATATTTATAACATATGGCTATGATATAAACTTGAACAGCTATCAAGTTACAAATGACTTACCCCCGCGGATAGAATATAGTTGCCTCTTTTGTTCCACTTCAGTGCAAATATTGGCCCTTTATGCTGTCCTAAAGTTCTTGCTAAACGACCATCACTTGTCCAGATTCTCGCATACCCATCGTAACTTCCTGTTGCTAGTAAGCTTCCATCACACTAAAAATAAGAACAACATTAGTAAAGATACTTCCACGTTAGTGTACGATTAACTACATCACTGATAAGTGTTGCTTGGATTCCAAAACAAAGGAAGCAAGAAGGTTAAGAAGGCCTAAAAATCTCAAGAATTCACTGGGGAACAATTTGAAAATACAATTCTGTTGAGTTTAATTTTTGAGCTGTTTTATAGGTATTTAGGCATGCTGGTTTCAATACTATAAATATTTTTTCTCTAACACGTCGTTTTTCCTATATCCCACAATCTAGCATGGATCATAGGAAGCACTATTGCTCTCTTATTGGCTGACACTAACCTCCGATATATGGAATTTGATTCACAACAGTTAAAGATTTAGAACGAGATTTTGGGCTATACAATAATGCTTCAGAGGTCTTAGCATCAAGACTGGGAGAGAAAAACTTTCATGAAAAGGGAGCTAAAGTATCCTATTTTCGATCAAGAGATCGAGATTGAATGATCAGGATAGAGTAAGAAGTTTCTACAATACTTTCAAAGTGAAGGCGGATTTGTATATTGTCATAATGTACGTGGTTTAATGAAGGAGTTGGGAATTTCAACCTATAATGTAACTGAATAGCGACTGTTTATCGATAGCTCAAAGCGGAGTTTGAAGTATGTTCTGCTCTACAATGGAAATTTATTGGTTCAGTCCCGATAGACCTTTTCAGTTAGTTTGAGTGAAAAATATGAAGACATAAAGAGAGTTACTGATCAGAAAACAAGTCACAGATTTAAGACAACAAAATTGCCAAAATATTTGGAACTCGAACGAATTACATGGAGCAAGCCAAAAGAAAAAAAAATGATTACAGAGTATTTGGTTCTAAAGCATTAATAGATTAAATATAAAACGATTAGCTCAGCTCATACAGTATTAACGAAACAATGAAAAACTATTAAGAGAAAAACTACATGTACGAGTACACATATTTTTGGAATGAATTGGAAACATCACAGTGGTATAGGCTGGTATAACTATTGAAATTAGCAAAAATAAACCAATATATCAGAGTATGGGAAGATCCAATAGCTAGTTGAGTACAAACCAGTGGAATACTAGCAATTTACAATGTCGAATAATAGAAATTTAGTTTGTGGATCAATAAAATTTGACCACTTTCGGGGGAGTATTAAATTATTGACCCAAAAATTTAACGCGCCGTTTATTTATGCTCTAATAATGAAACTATATAGCAAATAAGACTGCACATCCTTTATATCTGCAGTTATATGTAAGTTTGTGACCTTTGACTCCAAAAACTTGTTTAGTTAGTTTAATTGCGTACACTGTAGTTCGAGTATTTGTATTAAAACATCACAGTACTCTACGGATTTGTTTTGTTTTGATACTCTTTTGATTGTAAAACCTTTCAGAAAAACAAATCTAATTTAATATAATATTGCAACTTCACAGAAGGCGTCAATTATTACTCATACCTACTTCAAAAGTTTGCATTGTAAAATATATGTACTTCATATTATTGTAGGGTTTTATCTTGTCTAAGGTTTAATTAAATGGTCACACGTCGATTCGAAATTAGAACAAACACTTTATTGTTGAACTCGTAAATTACAGGAATGAATATACAACTAACTAATGTGACTATAACTTAAAATAGGACCGCGGCTTAATAGCAAAAATATGAAAGTCGTACGTCGTTTAGAGATGAGATGCCGTCTTATGTATGTCAACTCTTCGTCGTGAGTGCTTTTCTTACACTGTATACTCGACCCACCGTCGAGTATTCAGTAATGCTACTTAACTCTGGACTTCGGCTCGCGGTTTGTGATAAATGGAAGTTAGAAATGGGTTACGGAAATAATTTTTTATTTGATGACGAATGCAATCCTACATTATTTTAATAAACAAAACATATTTTCGATGTGATATAGTATATTACAATAGGTAATTAAGCAAAATAATATGAAAATATGCTTTGCGAGGTGTTTATTTTTTGGAACAAAAGCAACTAAATTCTTTCAAACTAAAAATATAATTCAAGAAATATAAAATAATAAATAAATATAAATAAATAATACAAAAAAATTATGTATGACAAAACAATTTTGAATAATTTCGTTTCCCACGTGCTTCTCAGCAAAAATCAGCCACAAATGAAACGCCATGTGATGCCATCTGTGAGCGATGACTGAAAGTCATTTGAATACTAAGGAATAAGCAAGAAATAGTCAGCACTACATACTATATATACTTACATTCCAATCTAACGATGTAACATCCTTATTACTAGGTACTTCCGTGCCTCCTTTCTGTATGCAATGCCTCAGGACGAGTTGATTAGGACTGGCTGTGTTGTCTGACATATCCCAGATTCTAGCTGTACTGTCTCCAGATCCACTGGCCAGTAAGTCGATAGTGGGATTCCAAGCACAAATAAAAACTTCAGATTCATGTCCACGGAGTACTGTTGCTTTCGAGGATGGAATCTCGATAGTGACATCCACTTCCATGGTTTCACTTTGTGTAGATTCCACTGCAGCTGAAACATTCAGAAATTTTTGTTAAAAGGGGGCATGGAATAGAGTGGATTTTATTAAATTAAGAAAATGAAAAAATGAAAACTAACAAGTGACTTAAAGTTATCACTGTTTTACTGTTTCTTTGTGCTATTTTGTCTCCTCCAGTTTTTAACCATAGTTTTTCAATTAAATAAAATATTTGCACCAAGGCCCATATACAACACATATAAGACACATTTCTCTACATAATGTCGATATACAAGATATATTAACATTTCTCCACATAACCCTTCCCAAGACCAACAACAACAAAATACATAGCAAAACAACAAAAGGAAAGTCAGAATAGCTGGACAACTTACATAACCTATAGATATAGGCAGTGGAATAAGACTGAGGGACCCATTGAGCCCTATGCTCTTCAATTTAATCATGGATGAAATCATCACAAGTGTCAACAAAAGAAGAGCATACATAATGGGAAACAAAGAAGTAAAAATTCTCTGTTACGCAGATGACGCATTATTGATAGCCCAAGATAAAGATAGTCTTCAAAGACCAGTCCACAGATTTAACATAAGAGCAAAATAATTTAATATGACAATCTCATCTCAGTAAACTAAAACAATGATAATCAGCAAACAACGAACCATTTGTAAAATAGAAATTGATGGCATCAGTATTGAACAAGTAATCGAAATAAAATACCAGGGACTTACACTGTCTAGCTATGGAGACAAAAGGCAAATGGACTAGCAGGATGCCTTAATAACACTATATGGCAAAACACACGCATTAACACTGAGATGAAGTCAAGAATTTATAAAGTCAGTGTAACATCAATAATAACATATGCCTCAGAAACAAAACCTGTCACAGCTACAACACAATGGCTAATTACAGAAAACGGCAGAGATGAGAGTACTTAGAAGAATTACATGAAATATGCTGGGAGATCGAAAGAGGAGTGAATACATTAGAAGAAAATGTAACACAGTACAGTGTGTAAATGAAAGGACACTAAACAGAAAAAAAAAAGAATAATCAGATAAGCAGTATGGAGCAGACTCGTGTGGTCAAAATAGCAAGAGAAAAATCACAAACCGGTAAAAGTATCAGACGACCTCGTAAAAGAATGACAACCTTCCATAGAGGAATCAATTCGCCAATGAACAAGCAGAATTGCTTATAAAGAGAAAGAACTAGAAGAACAATAACAAAATCCAAAGAAAAGGCTGGATGGCAGATAAAGTTTTGGATATTGAGAACTATATAAAGAACTAAAGAACAAAACATGCGAAAAAAAGATGAGATTTGATACAAACAGTTAAAATTTATAATAATAATAAAAATAAGAGTGGCAAAAGAACTATATTGTTCAAATAAATTTAGAGAAACAGAGGACTAGCAAAGCAAATATGACAAGTTCAACTTGCATCAAAAAGTCAAAGAACTCACTGAAGTAAGAAAAATTACTAGTTCAAATATATTAATAGACAGAGAGAGAAACATTATTATAGAAAGGGAACAACAATTACGAAGATGGAAAGAATACAAAGAAAAATTATTTCAAGGCCAGAACCAAGGAAATTGCTCTATGAACAGTCTAAGCTGAGACATAGGACCTGAGGCTACTAAAGTAAGGTTATTTATTAATTAGGTCTATGAAAACCAATAAGTCTAATGGTTTAGACCAAATACCAAGCAATTTGTTAATACTATTCAATGACAAAAAAAATCTGAATATTTTTGTATAGGATACTCCCAACGAGATATTTGATAAAAACTGAGATTTTAAATTAAGCTACCAAATGCTGAAATATTGCCAACATATCAATGAAAAATTGATATCTGAATCTATAATGATAATTTTAACTCTACTAAAAAGAATTCAAAACAATTGAAATACACTCAATGCTAATCAATTTATCTATGTAATAGCGGATGAAAAATATAGCTAATAATCTGTATATTATTAGAATATACATTGGGGACCCATTAATGAACGGACCCACAATTAGATGACTGTAAAAAAGGAGATTGTTAATAAGTATTAATGGAAATAAAAACAAATGACACCACCTTTCTTATTAAAGTATTAAATCATAAAGAATAACTTTGCAGAAATTGAGACCTATAGCCTATAGAATAACACTACAGTTTTTTGATTAAATTTTTAAGTAACTTAAGGACAGCTCAAATTTCATACTTGCTTAGTGCATCTGTCATTTATTAAGAGTTTAATACACTTATAAAATATTTTTAATTAAAAATTAAAAAACTTACATAGAACCATGTTGTACAGTACAGAAATTGAGTTCTTTTTTTGTAACTAATTAACTATTGATTTCTTTAAAAAATCGATAGTTAATTAGTTCACTTAAGAAGCAATAACAATTTAAAACTGAACTAATTTGAGTGTGTATTAAAAGGTCGTGAAGAACCTGTTTTCTGCTATCAGTAGAAGGTAAAAACAAACATCTAGCTGTTACCCCAGTCTATACCATAATAGCAATTTAAGTAGTGTAGGAAAAGTAAGGAGAGTATTATGCATGGCCCAAAAAAGAGATGGCGCTATTAGTCCCGCCGTAAGATGCACCGTGATGCCAACTCTACCGATTCGGCAGTTTATCTACCGAAAAGACCTAATGTTGGTACATTTTAATAGAAATAACCCTATATTTGGTACATTTAAAAACGAAATGTCCCTTTATTCAAATAGTTTAACACAGATGGATTGCTTAAAGTAATGTTTATATTACAAATGTTTCTATTAATATTTATGTCTCTGATTTTGAAATGAATTATTTGTGTCAACTTTTCTGGGGTCCCGATGGACTTTATCATGAGCTGTTCATCTTCACTGTTACATATAATATTATTTGTAATGTTAAGTTTCTTTCCTAAAGTGTATATAATTTTATTTCATTAGTTTTAACATTAATCAACAAGATTATGAGATAATAAAAATACTAGAAGAATGGAGGAAATAGCACAGGGAAAACAAGCCATAAGAGCACTTTATGGAGTGATATCGAACAACACTCTAACCAAAGAAAACAAAAAGAGGATCGTTCAAAGCATAGTGATGAATATTACCCTATATGGAGCGGAAGTATGGCCAATGACAACAACAATACGAAATAAAATAAGAACAGTTGAACTGGACTTTATGAGAAGATGTCTACAAATCACAAGAGCAGATAGAATAAGAACGGAGGAAATATGGAACAGAAGGGAAGTAGAATGCTCAATTACAAAAAAGTTGGAAAACAGAGCCCTGCAGTGGTACAAGCATGTACAAAGAATGCCAGAGCATAGGTGGCCGAAAAGAATATTAAACTGGAACCCGCCGGGAAGAAGAAGGAGAGGAAGACCTGCTACAAGATGGAAAACATACGTCGGAAATGCTATGATAGATAGAGACCTCAGAGAAGGTGACTGGGAGAGTAGAGTGCTGTGGAGGAAGAAAATGGCGAACTCATAATGGGAAAAGCCGAAGAAGAAGAATGGAGGACAAGAGAGCTAATTCTATTATTCAAAAATGCAATAAGAAACAAGCAGAAATCTACAGAGGTATCAATATGAATGTAAAACAGATTAAAACAGAGAAAGCATTAGAATACAACAGACCGGCATTCCATTTGATCTACTTGAAGAAGGCATTTGACAAGTAGGACTTACAGATGTTTTACAACTCTTGTATAATAAAAACATCCCAATGGATATTATAAAAACAATTAAAAACGTCTATCTAAACAATAAGAAGCAAGTCAGAATAGATGAACAACATACGGAACCTATAGATACAGGTAATGAGATAAGATAGAGGGATTCACTAAGAATTATTCAATCTAATCATGGATGAAGTCATAAATTTATATTCAAATTCATTTATTGATGTTTTGCCAATGCCTAACACACATCAAAAATAAAAGTAGAACAATAGTTCTAGTAAAAAAATCTTAAAATTTAGTTACATAAAAATAAAAAACACAACAATTTGACTTAATATATCAACCAACTGAGCAAGAAAAGGAGTCACAATATTCCATAGAGGCTTATATAAATTAAGAAGAAAAAAACGCAAATCTACGGATTTATTCAGAATTAAAATTAAATTTTGGTAGTGGCAACACTAAATGTAATTGAAAATGGCATCATAACTAATTAACATGTTAGGTTTAGAATTGTACCAATCTTGAAAGTGATAAGTTGAAGTTGGAAAAGGGGAACTAAACAAAGGATAATTCCAAGTTTATTTTTACCAGCACTTTATATAATATTTTATCTAATACTGCCCATGCCGAAAACAGGATTTTTGTTTTGACTATCTTAAGAAATCAACTGACAAGTGAATTGAAAGAAATAAAATTGCACTATAAAGGACATACAATTTGTGGACAAAAATATATCTTATGGCTTATAATCCAACACAAAATAGAGGACAAGAGGAGAGAAAGAAAAATATCTTGGTTGAAAAACCTAAGAGAATGGTAATCAGCTCTAGAACTATTACCAAAATAATTTTAGTTAAAAGTTTATTTTTATTATGTGAAAATGAGATTAAGTGTTATATTTGACAGTTTATTTTTACAATTTAAAATGTCTATATTAAAATACTCCTCTTATACGGTGTCGAAGCATGGACATTAAAAATATCCACCATTAATCGTCTGGAGGCCTTTGAAATGTGGCTGCACAGATGTATACTAAAAATTCCATGGACGGCTATGCTGACAAATGTGGCAGTCCTTGAGAGAGCAAATGCTGCTCTCGAGCTGCTTGATAACATCAAATGTAGAAAGATGGCCTATTTTGGACATGTAGTCAGGGGAGACCGATATAATATTATTCAACTTATTATGATGGGTAAAATCGAAGGACACAGAGGAATTGGTAGAAAGCAGGCCTCTTAATTGAAGAATATTTATTTATTTATTGACGGATATACCATTTACATTGGAACAATATATATAATATATAAAATTTTAAAGTAAGCATCACATTGGAAAATAATTAGTAAGTTTAACAAAAACTAATAATTAACTTGAATACAAACTAATATCACACAAATATCAGTCTCTTTATCACATTTTTAAATTGTTCTAAGGACTGGAAAAATAAGTCCAGATCACTTTGGTACCTATTATATAGTCTCACCATATGAGTAAGAGGCTTGAAGTATTCATAATTAAATTGATGAAATGGTAGATGAAATAATGAAGTATGCCTAGTTCCATGAAGAGTGTTAAGACCTAATCGATTTAAAAGTTCAGGGCAATTTATCAAATTATTAACAATTTTGTAAAGGAATATTAGGCAAAAATAATCTTTTCGCCGATTCATAGAAACCATTTTTAAGTGATCAGCTATCATACTATAACTGTATGGGACAGAGAGGTCATGAAAAGCACTACAGTAATGATAGTGTTTACCAAATTTATGCTGAACACGATCAAGCTTGTCTATAGATGTTTGATAGTAAGGTCCCCATACAACTATTGCAAATTTTAGTCTGGAGCGAATGAGACTATTAAAAAGAATTGGTAAAACAAAACATGAAAATTGAGAGTGGACAGAGAATAAAAAAAGCTGAGCAACTCTTTAGAATAGCTCGAGACAGAGACAGTTTTGCCATGTTAATCGCCAACTCGCCAATATTAAAATACTCCAATTAATTATATATATATATATATATATATATATATATATATATATATATATATAATACTAAAAACATCTTTTAATAAAGGTGCATAGATGTTTATTAAGAGTTTTATTGTGATCAGTTATTGATGCTTGTTTACAGTTATCAAGTTGAAGTTCAAAACCTATTTCCAAGCATTTATTTTAATCATGTTTACTTTCTAAATCTGTTCTATTATTGTAAATAAAATCTGTACGCATTTAATGTATAAGAAATTATTTCTTTGAACAAGAGCTAATCATTTAGTTAAAGAAAGGGAAAGCACTGAATTACATCCATATTATCAGTTTTTATGATATTATTGGTAAATAATTATTCTTAAAAACAATTAGTGTATGGAGGGTTTTAATCTATCATTGACACCCAGTAGCATCGTGAGGAAAGAGATTCAATTCTACAAACATTTTTTTCTAATAAATATTGAGCCGATGCCACAAGCTCGTTTTATTGAGTAGTGACTGCATCATTTAAGCTGTGAGCCACTGTATAAAGTATCAAAAAAATTGGGTTTACTGAGATTGGTGGATTTTTACCTCTAATCTTTGATACCTGGTGCAATTAAGTGCCCTTACTGTTCAGTAAAAGCTGTAAATGGTCAGTCAAAGCTGATTTTTTTTTTATAATTCTGCCTGCTTTTGATGTCTCAATGCTTCTTCTATTGGCTTATGCAATATGAGTTTGGTTGATATTTTCTGACCAACTTGTTGTTGTCCATTTTTTATTACAATTATTATTTTTATCTTCAATTTTAACTAGGAACTCAGTAATTCACAATTGTTTTCTGCAGTAAACTGATTACCTTTGAATTTTTTTTTTTTCATATTATTATTTCAGTTTTTCCAATTTTGAAAACAATAATTTATGACAAATTTCGGTAATATAAAACAAGTGCTACCTTTTATAAGTTTTAGAAAGAAATTGTCTAGTTGCAGGTGCACCAGTGAAGGGGAGCATGCAGTGTTGTATACAAACAAGTTTCATGGGCACCGTTATAAATACGGCTATAACTTCGTTTCTGTTTTGAATTTCTTAATAAAATTATAGGACAGAATTTCTATGGCACCAAAGAATGTTTTTATGAAAAAAAAAACAATTGATTTTTTCAAAATTTAGAAAAGTCCACTTAATAACCTATTAACTATGTAGCCACTACTGCATTTAAAATGAATGAACATTTCAAATGAGTTTTAGAAATGGGATGAACATAAATGACTGTGGCATATCCTGAGACTTTGATTCAGTTTGTTATGAACATATACACAGAAATCCCCTCAAGATGCTAATAATAACATCATACAAAACCATATAGAATATATACTAAGCAATCACAGATATCACAACAGTATTAAAAAGGTTACTGCTTATCTAGATTGCTGATTTTCAATATGAATTCAAAATAGTACAGAAGAAAATAATAGCAAAGCCAATGTAAAACATGGTAAATTCAGAGAAACAACAATTAGAAACATGAAATTACTAGAGGTGGGCTAAATATCACTACCCTGTGATTTAACAGCTGTGATTAGAAAATAACAATCACTACCTGTGATTAAAGATAATATTATATTGTCTTTGGAGGAATATGGACATTGATAGTTTAGTGTAATATTAGTACATACAACAAATATTATTTATTTAATAACACCTGTAGAATTTTATGGTGGTCCATAATGGCAACACTTTTTTATTCTGAGTTTAACATACGACTATTGCGTTTTCCCGTTAAATCACAAGCACAGGTAAAAAAACAGTACATAAAAAATCATGGTCACAGTTATACCTGTGATTGCAGAATCACAGTTTAGCCAACCATAAGAAACTACCAATAACTAAACTAACAGAATTATATGCAAGTAATAACCCACTACTCAGCGAATCTCCAGATGACATATAAAACATAACAAGGAAAGATAGAAAAATATTCAAGTAAACAAAATAACAAAAATCTTAAGCAATGGTTAAATCAATCTAACTATAAGCCTAGTTAAACATGAAATAGCTATTTATGTATTTCAATAATATATAAAATAGTATATTTGCCATTTAATTAATGTTTTTAAGTTATATGGCCCTCGATACACAAATATCTGTAAGTTCTAATTAAATCTGTGGAAAAGCTGTATTAAAAACGAAATATTTAAAGGTATACATTGTGTGCAATTCTGTAAATATAAAAATTACCTTCCTCTCCATTTGTTTCTGATTGCTCAGCTTTAACAGCCTGCTTTTGCTGGTTTTGTTGATTTTGTCTACTAGCTACTACATCTGGCATCACAGCATCTATTAAACTAAGACTTTCTACTAGCCTTTGTTCAGTACCATCTTCCCCAATACTAATTTCGGCTTCTGTATATTGCAGCCCTTTTTGTAGGATACTTAATAGGGCTGCAGGGGGCACCAGTGCTCCATTTATATTTGATTGGGATATATGGGATTCTATTCCAAAGGTATACGCTGAATGTTGAAATCCTAAAATATATCATTTGTAACTACAGGAATTTTTTACCTAATTATTACCAACTTAATAAAAAAAAAACATAAAATAAATAATTCACCGTGCAATAAAATAGTTCACTAGGACACTATTAACTTCACAAGACTTTTATTGAAAATTTTTAAAAACCAAATCATAAGAAACAATAAAAAGATCACAAGCTGAAGATGCAAGAAGAATCAGTTTTTTGACACATTTGCACAATCATCTATCATTAAGCAAAATTTCACCATAACTACACCTCATACTGAATCTTTTTTGATTAGTATTTACAACAAAGGACATGAATGGAGCTTTGCATGCTTAATTCATCAACTATGGAGAGGTATTTGTTAATGTACAATAAAAGGAGTATTCTTACTAATATAAAGTTGTTAATTAATTAACATATCTGTTTACCAGTGCAAACTCATTGTCAAGTAAGACTTTGTGGTTTCAGTTAGTGTATGCATCAATCTTTAAGGATTCTCTTTATTGAACATTATTTTGAGGAAAACAAACTTGAAAATACAGATTTTGTGTCAATAAAATAAATCCCCTGAAGCAAACCCCTACTAACAACCAGTTTTACTACTTAATAAAACAATGTTAGAAGAAAGGTTTCCAAACTGATTTCATTAATGGGTGGACAGAGAGATACCTAGAGGAGATTACATTTGGAAAAAGTCGGCTGTGGTTTTAAACTGTTGATTCTCACTATCATACAGATATATTTCTGATATAAAAAGCTATTATATAGTCAAAATTAGCCAACCACATAGGCATTGGAATATGGTGGGAATATTAGAAAACTTTGTGATCACAATGGTTATGTTTTAAAGTAATAATTATTTAGATTTAAGGTAATAGAGGATGGTAATGAAGTTTCAAATTTTGTAATTTTTCGTTTCCTTTTTGGACGCGTCCCATAACCAGGTTATGTGTGTATGAATCTTCTTTATTTTGCATGTACTCACCAGATTCCTGTAAATACCTATAAACTAAAAAGTTAACTTCGTCACTTGAGAAACTCATTTTGGCTATTTGTACCGATCCATCTATTTAAAAAAAGTTTTAATTTTTTTCGGTAAACAATCAACAAATACTCGTGTCAGCGGTCAAACAATCATTTTCTTCTAGGCCTTCTGAAAGAATAAAGGCTAAGTTTAATTGGTCCTTGTATAATACTGATTGTAAATATTTTGAAGTTTCGCCCTAAGCAATTTTTGTTTTTGTCCAACGCCTATCGAGTATCCAACGAAATTGTTTAACTAACAAAATTTTTAACCTTTTTCATTTTGTCATGACAAGTCAACTGTCAATGTCACTTCTTTCTTTTTTGGTTTGCAAGCTGGCTTGGAGCTATATTTGTTTAATGACGCTACTCTTGTTTGTGGCTGTGGCCTCTCCTTGAAACTTGAAACAAATTTCCAGTGTGCTTGTAATATATGTTGCCTATGTGTGTGACTGGCGCGTACTCTCCGAAAATTTAATTTCTATTTTTGATAATTTTACATGTAATAATACACTCAGAACAAAGTATTATGCAATACTTAAAAATATGAAAATAAAATCAATTAAAAGACATTATAAGAAAAAACACAATTATAACAAATAAAATCAAATTTTACAGTGCGTGATTAGGAAGAGGAGTGAAATAATGAATAAAATATTTTTTTGAAGCTATTATCTTGTGACACATTATAAAAGGTATATAATTAAATAGACCCTTTCGGGCTATATCACGGAACGTTTTCGGACTAAAAAGTCCATTATCAGTGTATTATTACCAGGTGGACATGAGTGAAGCCTCTAAATATCTGGGTAAAAACCCAAAAAGGTACAAAATTTATTATGTGTTACTTTTGTTAAAAAGATGGTGTGATGTTAAATATTTAACAGATACCCTGAATGGCAACGTAAGACTCCCAATAGGGGCTGCTGCTGGTCCTCAGACAAAGTCTGAATGGGTTTTAGATTACAAGAGTTGCCATCGAGAGAGAAATAGGGCTAGCCGTCACATTAGATAAAACTAAAGCTCAAATACAAGCAATTAAGTAAGAAAACTTTCAAAATTTAACGATAGACGAAGCAAATATTGAAATTGTAAAACAGCTCACAAATCCTGGGCGGACATGTGAGCCATCCTAAGGACGGCAGCGAGAAGGAAGAAATACGGAAAAGAATAATGCTTGCTAAAAAAGCATACTTCTCTCTGTCGCAAGTGTTTAGATCCAAAGACATCCATAGGGAAGTAAATTGCAAAATATATAATAGGGGAAGATGGTACAATTCCGACACCATGGGTAATACCGACACCCCTCCTTCCAACTTCCTATGTATACCAATACGCTGCCAAATACATCGAATCTGTGGCGCCAATCATGATAACTACGGCCAGTCGCTGTTAGTTAGTTGAAGTGAAAGGTTGACCTTGTACGTCTACAAGTGTTGTTTTTTATGAATCTCATCTAATTTCTAACCTCTATTGAACACGTGGTAAGTATAACTAAACATTGGGTATTGATTTTTATCTTTATTATTTGTTAAATCTTGTTCATTAAAGTACATTGTGGCATAAATTAAATAAAGCTAACTTTATTATTTATTTAACTATTACATATTTTTTTGCCAAATCCTTCAGTGGGGTAATACCGTCAGTACGAGCGGGGCAATATCGACAGTGTCGGTATTGTCCCTTGAACAATTTTTATACACATATATTTTAACTATGTAGATTTCTCATACTGACATATTTTCTGTTATTTTCAGATGGTGCGATCACGGCCACGAACTACCCAAAAGACTAAATGGAGTGAAGAAAGTCTTATCAATGCAATGAAAGAGGTTCAGAATGGCAAATCAGTAAAAAGTGTATCGAAAGAGTTTAACATACCTCGAACAACTTTGATAGACAGAATCAAATCTAAACAGTCAACTAAACCTGTTTTAGGACGTAAAACAGTATTTTCCGTCGAACAAGAAAAGCAAATTGCTGAACATGTGCTTTTGTTAGCAAACATATTTTATGGTATTACGATTACTGAGCTACGACGGTTAGATTATGACTAAGCTGAAAAAAATTCCGTAAAACATAGTTTTAATAAGGAAAACAAAATGGCAGGAATGGATTGGTTAAGGGGTTTTATAAAACGTCACAAGATTAGCTTGAGAAAACCCGAGGCTACTAGCATAAATCAAGTACGTGCTTTTAATAAAATTGAAGTTGAATTGTTTTATAATAATCTTGATGCAGTTTTAACGAAATATAAATTTCCTGCAAGTAGAATATACAATATGGATGAAACAGGCATATCATCTGTACAACGGCCAGGAAAAATCCTTGCTCCACAAGGTCAAAAACAGGTTGGAAGCATGACAAGTTGGGAAAGAGGAAAGAACGTAACTGTCGTCTGTGCAATGAGTGCTTCTGGTAATTACATACCGCCAATGTTTATTTTCCCCAGAAAACGTATGACACCCCTTTTGCAAAAAGATGGACCTGTAGGATCAATATATTGTTGTTCAGACAATGGCTGGTCTAATGAGAAACTCTTTCTTGAATGGCTCCAACATTTTGCAAAGATTGCGAAACCTACCGAAGACGATCCTCTGTTATTGGTCCTGGACAACCATGGTAGTCATATTACATTGACCAATTATGAATTTTGTAAGGCTAACTATATTCACGTTATATCGATACCGCCACACACGTCCCACAGACTACAACCTCTAGATGTGGCTTTTTATAGCCCATTAAAAAATGGTTTTAACAGAGAATGTGATTATTATATGAAAAATAATTTACACCAAAAAATCACATCTTATGAAATTGCGTCAATATTTAACAAAGCCTACATGAAAATTGCCACCATTGAAAAGCTGTATCAGGATTCAGCTCAACTGGAATTTATCCTTTTCAGCCAAATAAGTTTTCAGAAGACGATTTTGCTCCATCTCAACTTATCCAACACATCATTATTGAAGAAAAAGTTGACCACGAAATTGACGAATTAGTTGACCAAATTGGTACTGATGAATCTACTAGCTTCAATAATTTGGAGGTCAATACAGATCCACAGCCATCCACTAGTTTTCAAACAAGCATAGTAGAATTGTCGCCTTTACCATTAACAGAAATAACATCTCAAAAGCTGGCAAATAATGATAATAATAATAAAAAACAACACTCCATTATTATGACATCTACTTCTATAAAACATATCCTTGAAGATGCCAAACTAAGAAAAGAAGAAAAGATAAAAAAGAAAGAGCAAGCAAATAATATAAAAAAAGAAAAACAAAATAGGAAAAGAGGTCAAGAGAACAGACCAGAGAAAACATCTAAAAGAGTTACTAAGGGTAAATCAGTTCTCAAAAATGTGGGTTTAAAAGGAGTAAAGAAAACGCACAAAAGACGCATTCATTTCGATTCCAGCTCTTCGTTGGAAGATATTGATATTAAAACCATCTGCGATGATGATGACGACGATGACACATTGTTTGATGTCTACTGTGACTCCAATAAAGAAGTATGTGTAATTTGTGGAGAGTTTGGGGCAAACGAACTATGGTATCGTTGTGTTTTATGTGCTAAT